TTCATCTTAATGACTTGAAGAAAGGAAAATAGGACATTTTTGTAAGACCCCATGGCAATAGACTGCCAATTGACTTTCATGTATAGTTCATAGGTTCAAAGGATGTCTTAGTCTTTGCAAGTGCAGTTGATGCTGAGAAACTAGACCTTCCTCAGCGGTCCCCTTATTGCCCACAATGTGCAAGTGAACCAATGAAACATGAGCTTACACAGATAAAATTGAAAGAAAAGCAGGTGATCTTAATGTGAGGGAGTGCTGAAGCTAGAAAACCTCCATTGGCTGTAAGCACCTTGGTCTCTGGCCAAAATTGAAATGAGTCCCCTAGTGACTGGCTGTCTATCAATCCCCCAGAAGGAAACAACCTGGGAGGAACAAGGAAGCATGTTGAATATTTTTGAGGTTGTTGGTACTGTGATTATAGCAATGTCCTTTATCTTTGGAAGATCAATTAAAGAGTGCTAGTTTTGCAAATAAAATGTATGGGTTGCCTATGAATTTCTCTTAAACTGGCTTCTTAGAGTTTTGAAGTTCTTAGTCAATAACTGCCAATCAAATTTCAGCTCACTTTCTAATTCAGCACTAGTCAAATAGAGCTGTGATTTAATTTTCTCCAAATAGGAGCTGTTTGAAGTTGTTAGCTCTAGCTCCATTTTGACCCCTACTTTGAAGTTACTTTAGACTTTTAATACTAGTTCTGCAGGACAGTTCAAGTCTCCATATTCATTTTGGTTCCTGGTCCTTACACAAATGGCCTCCCACAGGCCCGGAGACATCCTGAAACTGGACCATCCGCACCCAGCACTCAAATTATGCACTTGCACATGTTTTCACCTAATAGAATGTAACTACATGAGTTACAGCAGTGTTATCCAAGCTTTCATCAGGTTATATTGATTGAAGAGGGATCAGGTGAAGTCTTGGAGAAGTTTTAGTGATTTGAGCGACAAGGCTGAAGATAAAATGCCCTGATCTTGAAATGGGGAAACAAGTTAAGCTAAAGCAAAATCTAGCACAAAGGTCCTGCAGTTTGGTCAACTGGTTGAGGGAAGATTGTCCCCAGAGAGGTTAATTGAAGCAGTGAATTTGAAGTATAAGAACTACAACCATTCTGTCTTGTTAATAAACTTCGGTGATGAAAAATTTTTTTGAACTGCAATCTGCTGTTTTAAAGATTGCCCAGAGAGTGGTTAATGAAACAGTCGCAAGTATATGAGAAATAACTTTTGAACTAACTTCCAAACAATTAGATGCCGTTTTCATACTTTTGATTAAAACAAATTTAGGAATTGCCTTCATTTTCCAGATAAGATAATCAAATTAAGAGGCAACAAAGGCAATTGTCAATATACAGAAGGCACTGGAAGATCTGGTGGGAAAGGACAAACTACTAAAGACTAGGCAGGAAAGACTGCAGTCTTGGTTTGAAAGTCCCAGTGGTATACTTGAAGGGAAAACTGGTTTGACAAAGTTGGAGTTGGAGATATTAACCTTGTATCCAAAAGTGAGACTCGATCGGCTTAAAAAATGTGACCTTTGGTGAAAACCAGTGGGAAGTTGGACTAGCATGTGTCCATAAATTCCAGAAACCTTGTAATTCTATAACCTGTCATGTGTGTGGGCAGTATTACAACACTGGTAACAAGTTTGAGTCCCTGGTTCCCAGATTTATACTTAGAATATCATTGATTTCTGCCCCTGAAAACATACCCATCTAATGGATATCTAGTGATTTGAGGAAAAACCATTGGGGAATTGGAATATGTTTTGTTGCATGTCCTGCCAAAAACAAAAGGGTCTCATGCAGTTAAATTCAGTCTGAAAGGCTGGGTACCATAATTATAAACCAATGCTACAAGTTTTTATTGTTAAAAACTTATCACAGCTATTAAAGTAAATCTTAAAGGAATCCTCACCTCAAGCTCCTTAACATCTCGGTGCTTATATGAAAAGTGTTACATTCAAGACAAAGTGTGCTGTACAGATGAGAAGACTAGACCCTGGTTTACCCCAAACATTGAGAGATGAAAGGTCAAGGTTAAGCTAGCATAGCAACAAGCTGCCAACATTTGAGGGGCCTTTGCTATGGGAAAGGCAGGTCATTACCTGTATGGTCTCAGCTGAATGAATCAGTATGAGTGGTTTGTCTCCTACTAAAACCTCTAGGACAGTGGTTCCCAACGTTTTGGGGGTTTTTTTTGGCCATGCCCCACCTAAGCATCTCTTTAAAATCCTGATGTGCACCTTTCCCCCTATGTAATAAAAGGCCATTAATTTGCTCTAAACAAGCTTCCAAAGAACATGGCATCCATGAAAAAAAAAAATTGAAATGAAAGAAATCACTAAAATTGTTAAAATACGAAGTGATAAAAATAGTTCAAATGTAAGAGAACTGAAATGCATAATTATGATATTTACATATATGAGGCCGCTGACAGTAAGAAATGCAAAAAATTTACTGTTAACTCATTCTCAAATTGTTCTCTAATCAAATTTGCCCCGCTGTGGGTCATGTGCCTGGGCCTCACGTTGGGAACAGCTGTTGTAGGACAATCATGATTTACTCATTTTCATGTCCCCCCAGTTCAGCCCAGAGATCAGCGTGGATTGTTGATTTGACCCAACAGGTTTACTGAATACCTACTATAACCAAGTAGTGTTTTAGGTTTGGGAATATTGCAGACAACGAAAAAAAAAAAAAAAATCTGCCATCTTGGATCTTACTACATCCTACTGTGGCAAATTAAAATGAGATTAATGCAGCAGGGAAAGGGATCAGGGGTGCAGGTTGGGAACGGCTTCATCCTTTTGGATATGGTTGCCGAGGAAATCTTCACCGAGGAGCACTTAAGCAGGCAGGATTAGGGAGTGAACAGCGAATATCTGGAGGAGAGTTGCTAGGGTCAGCTAGGGCAAAGGCCTGCATGGGGCTCAGCCTGGGAACAGGAAGGAAAAGCCAGTGAGTGGAGCAGAGCGGTTGCAGGGTGTGGTCAGGAAGTAAGGCTCTGCAGGGCTTTGGTGTTCAAATAAAGACTGGCTTTTCTCAGATAGGAAACTGCTGGAGGGTTTTGACCAGACGTGGCATCATCTGACCTTCCCCAACAGTTGCTTACCTTGTTTTTAAAATTTGCAACATAGGATAAATCTAAATTGCCTATGAGGTTGGGGATTGGATTTGAAATAAACTTGGCTTCCAATTTACAATTAGTTTGGTTTGCAAAATCCTGGTTGTATCATTTTCAACTTATTAAATATTTCCTTAATTTCTGAGAAAATGTTTAAAATGTCACTTCAATGTTTAAGATATAAAATAGTGACATTTCTTTGAATTTCAGATAAGCAATTTTTTTTTTCTTTCCCTTCTGAGGCAGCAATAAAGAAAAGCTGATGCCCCAGGGACGAGGTCTCTGAGATGCCAACACATGACTGACATCTCGGGACGTGGGGCTTTTGGTAGCCCCGAAAACATCCTACAGATTTGGGGTGTTTTCTGAAACTCATTCCAGTATACAGACAATATTTTGGTTAGAATGAAACTAAACAGTGAATGTAGTGACTTTATTATATTAAAAATAAGGTAACATGCATGTGGGATAGATGTAAAATTGCATTTTCCTACCCAATAAAGGGCATCTCAAGAAGTTCTCTCCACTGACAAAGTGCAGGCAGAGTTGGACATCCTTTCTTACCATGAGAGCCCTGCCAACAAGGATTTTCTGGGCTCAGGGCCCACAGACGGGGAGAGATTGGGTTAAGGACAAACTTTAGAAATAGCTTTCTGCAGTTGGGAAGGGCATTCATGCTCTTCCCAGCCTATTGAGCAGCCGAAATGACCTGGAAGTGAAGCTGCTGTTATTTCCAAATCGATCATAGTATCAAGTTGCTTAGAACACTGAAAAAAAAAAAGAAAGAAAAAAAAAAAGAGGAATATAGGCTGATAATTTGTGTTCACACATTATAAGTCAAAAGAATGCCAAGGCAAAAGAGAAGATAATGTCAAAAAGAACAATTTCATTAATCAAAGCCTTCCTTGTTCCTATAGTTATTAATCAAAAGCTTTTAAAAAAAACTAAATCTTTATTATTGAAAATATTGTGGGTGTTCCCCTTTAACCCCAATCACACAATGTAAGAAAATCACAATGAGGTTGGTTTAAGGTAAATGTTTTTAGTATAATTGAAGAAAAGGTATTCAGGGATTACTTAAAAAAATAGAAATATAAACAATATTGATGCATAAATTTACTGTTTTTCTTTTACTACAGGTAATCAGTTTTGTTTAATCTTAAATTATAAAATACACAGCTATACCTGTTTCTGTTTACAGATAGGTTGACAGTCATACATTTGTATCATGCCTTATAATTTTCTAAAGCACTTCCCCTCACATTATCTTCCACGTACATGATCTCTGGTTGTGGCAAGAAAAGCCCTGTGAGGTAGCCAGACAAGTTCTGTTTGCATTTCCCACCGCAGGAGGGAGACTAAGCAGGCCTATATAACTCGCTCAAAGTGAAGCAATGACAGATTTTGTGTTTCATTTCAGTGATGTTTGGCATTATATTAAGTTGCTTTTCACTATGTTACGATTGTCCAGCTTAATTTATAGGATTTTCTTGGTGAAGTTAGTTAAACGGATTCCTCCATTAACACCAGCCTAGAGGGGTAAATATTTTCTCACATTTCACACATGATCTGATTACTTCTGTTCCAAGTGAACAACCTAGTCTTATGGAAAAACATGATTAGAAGATACTTAGCCATTATATTCTAACAGAGCCATCTTTCACACCTCTCCAAGTAAAAAGAAACTTCAAAAAAGTCCCAAAGAATTCTAATAATGCACGTTATCAGGTCCAGAATGGTACTGTCTGTTTCTCCATTCTGGTAAAGAATTGTTGCCTGGAATACTTCCACCTAAAGACCTGTCAGATCTTTGGCAGAACCCTGGAGGGAGCAGAGGATGAAAACCAAAAGCTCAACTTTTTGCCTGGCAAGGAGGATTCAATGGGTTCTTTTCCGTTTCTTTGTCTGTTGGCCAGGAGACCTGAATATGATAGGGCTTCAGATCCTCAGGAGGGATAAAATCTGGGGCATTGCTCATGAGGTCTTGCCCCCGGAAGGATTTTGGGAAGGCTATGACATCTCTGATGCTTGGCGCTCCAGTGACAAGGCAGATCAGTCTGTCTAACCCTGTGAGTAAAACACAAAGTTAACAGATGAGAATGTAATCTGAGGATGGGAGTGACTTCGTTTTTCTACTACGGTTACAGAGAACTTTTAAATAAGAATCTTTACTAAGTTTCACCCAGGCATAGTTCCCTGCCTTTTTAGAGAACTTTTGAGGTTACTTTCTTTCTCACTTTAGAAAAATTGCTCAGGACTGAAAAATGCTCAGTCACATGTACTGGGAAGAATAGTGACAGCAAGTAATATCTTTAGCAAGGGCTTACTAAAAACTAAACAAAATTAGGTGCTCTGCAGGAGTTTTAACACAAAAGGAGGTTCCTGTGTTTGAGGGTCCATAATCTAGTGAACTTTCTAGAATTTCTCATATTCTCCTTGATAAAAGAAGCAAGGTGAACATCCTTGTCCATCAGAAGGGCCATGACATGTTCTTACACAAGCTGGGCAAGGCAAACGGGGCTTTCCAGGCTGCTACCAAGGTGTCTGAGCCCCCAGGGATTTGACCTAAGACCATACAGTTCCATTCTATTAAATCCTTTAAATGCAAATTATAAGTTTTAGCTTTATAACTGGTAAATAAACAAAACATAAATTCTGTAGAACCCTTGGGCTCACTCCTTACCTCCATTATTCCTCCATCCACCATCCCCCTTAAGCTGAGCCCAAATTTGAGACAGTGCAATGGAATGAAATTTGGCTTGTGAAAGGGCAGACTGTTTACCTAAGGCAATTCCTCCATGAGGGGGCGCCCCGTGATCTAAAGCCTGGAGCAGGTGGGAGAGCAATGTCACGTCTTCCTGAAAATCAAAAGATAATTCCGTTTAAATACATACTGAGGGGCCGCTAAGTGCAAACCGTGTTTAGGTGTGAAAGGGAAAACAAAGATAAGTTTAAAAAGACCTCAAGAGGTTTACAGTAGAGCAAGGTGATGTGATTAGTCACAGATACTAAATCCTGCAGAGAAATGCCTGGCGCTCAATAAATGCAGTTATTATACTGATAATGCAAACAGTAAGACCAAGAAAATGGCTCCAAAAGGTAGGATGAAAGCAGGGAACAATCTGTCAAGGGACTAGGGAGGGTATTAGGAAGCAACAGTGTCAAATGCTGGAAGGTAGGGACATTGAATTTGGTGACCAAGAACAGACCAGTGGATTTGGGTATTCATCTCAATGAATCAAGTGTGTCAGTGCCTATGAAGTGCCTGGCATATACTTAAGCAGGGCCTGGCACACAGTAAGCACTGCCAAACAGCTATTACCTATTTTTCAAAGACTTAACACTAAAGGTAGAGAAGCTGATACTATCTGTATCTAGTGAATCCTCCATTCGTTACAAATTTTAACACACACAAACAAGGCCAGGTTAGAACATGTTACCTTCAGTAATGTTTCCAGGATGTAGCGCTGGAGCTGTGCATCGTGAATTCGGACAGAACCGCCTCCTATCTCACTGCCGTTTAAAACCAAGTCATAGTGCTGGCTACGGACCTACAAGATTCAGAGTCTCGACATTAGAGAATGTTAACAACTGACTCAAACCGACAGTTTTTTCTGGAGCTTCCAGAACTGGGTCAGACTGAAATCTGAAGTTCTTTGCACATCCCGGTTCCTTTGATTTTCAAGCACAGACACGGTACCTTTTCGGGCTCAGTGTGGAGAAGGTGGATGTCACTGGGATGGGGAGCCGTGAACGGGTGGTGGGCTGCCTCCAGCTCCCCGGGGTTTTCCTCCTTGGGAAGGAAGAGTGGGAAATCCACCACCCAAAGGAAAGAGAACAGAGCTGGGTCACGGAGCAGCACTCCTCTCGCTTCTAGAAGGTCAGCACATTCCAGCCGGAGTTTTCCCAGCAAAGTGCACTGCAAGCAGAAGATAGGAACACTGAGGTAACTGCCGGGACAGAGTAGTCAGCAATGACCGATCTGGACCCTAAAGCCAGGCCGTTCTCTGAGAAAAGATTAGCCAAGTGATAGACACACCCAATGGCCTGGGAAGCACGGTCTCCCTCAGTGCCTGGGAATGGAGGACACAGGCATCAGCTCGATGGACCTGAGTCTGATCTGTTTGCCACTAACATCTCTGCATCCTCAGCCACAGTGAAACGGAGAGAAAAGTTTTCCAGGAGGCTGTGGTGACGATGCAGTGAGATAAGGCTGTGTAAGGTGCAAGATGAGGATAAAATGTGTAACGGTGCAACCTATTCCCATGATTTCCGTACTGCCCTGAGGGTGTGATGAGGATCGGCGGAGTGCTGGCATGTACGTAATGTTCTACAATGCTTGCTGCTAGGAGAAGGGCAGGGTGGATTAGAGGTTAACTCAGAGTGCACTTTTGGGAACCAGACTTTGAGATGTGAGGGGAAAAAAATCTGGCTCCTCCACATCCCAGCTGTGTGTGCGCGCAAATTTTTAACTTCTCAGCCTCAGTTCTCTTTACAAGAGTAACAGTAGTGGTACTGGACACTTACAGTATATTTTCAGTATTTGTGTGACTCCTATACCACTTCGGCATATTTTACAATGGCCTATTTAGCTACGTCCAGTCTTCTGTGTATCTATCTCCTGAAGAACAGTGAGTCGGCTGGTGCCTGGCAGCCCTCACCACCTCCCAGTGACTGCTCCAAGGAAGAGGATCCTGCCACGATCCAGTAGGGCCAGGTGTCTGCCAGCCAGCAGCCCTCCAGCAGTCTGACCTGTCCTCCACATTTTCAGGAACGCATTATGTATAAAAGTTAGTGACTACCGAATTTTCTTAATTTACAAATCTTTGAAAATGAACATATTTTTTCATAGCTACACATCGAGTCCCAACAGCCCTCTACCTAAGTGGCTTTCCTAATCGGAACCACAGCCGGTCTGCGAACAGTGCCCACGGAGGTGAAGAAACTAGTGGCTGGTGAAGAAACTAGTTTTTATAAAGTGCTGAAAGACATTTACTCATATATCTCTAGCTGGTTTGGCTCAGTGGATACAGCAACGGTCTGCAGACTGAAGGGTCCTGGGGTTTGATTCTGGTCAAGGGCATGTGCCTCAGTTGGAGGCTCCTCCCCTGGCTCCTGGTACAGGCAACCAATCGATGTGTTTCTCTCACATTGATATTTCTGTCTTCCCATCTCTCTAAAAATCAATGGAAAAATATCCTTGGGTGAGGATTAAAAAAAAAAAAAAAAAAAAAGGTATTTACTCATAAAAACTCATGCAGAGCAGCTTCATTTAATGAAATTAACAGTCAATTTCAAATGTGTGTCACATGCTCCATTCAGCCCCAGCAGCACGGAGCATGGAGGTAACTTCTCTTACTGCTTTCTTGTGCTCTCCGGCCGTTAGCAGGACCATGTCCTCCTCCTGGTTCTCCATTCGTCTCATCAGGCCCAGTCCTTGCTCCTCCATCACAAGCTTAGCAACCGGAGCATTCCAGTTCCTATTGGCTTTCAGGAACACAGGTAAGACTTCCTGTGATAAAAAGATTTATTAACATTTTTCTAAAAAGTATAACATATTTCTTGTTCCCAATAGAAGAAAACTTACATGAGATTATCTTTATTCCCTCCTGAACCCATTCAAAATGATACAAAAGGAATTTAAAAAGCAATCTCATTATAACAAAAAAACAGAGAATGATGGGTCAGGAGCGATTTCAGTAGTTGAGATTTTTGCAAATTTTTGGCAGATTGCAAGTGAATGGAGCATAAAGTCTTATATTTTAGATCCTTTCTTCAAAGTGTCACTGATTTTAATGACTCAAAAAACATATTTTTAAAGTCATTGATTCCAAAATGGCCAAGGCAGTTTCCACTTCTTGTGAGATTTAAGAATGCCCATTTCCACTCCTGTTCCTCCTGTTTTATTTCTACCATTAACCAAGCCCAGAACACAGTTATCTCTCAAAGTTGTATTCAGAATTTTTAAAAAGGGTACAGGAAGAACAATTCCTTCAGGTTTTCCTTCACACCCACCAGTTTCATTTAAATCTTGGGCACATAGGGCTCTATTTATTTTCGTAACCAGATTAAAGTACTGTTGTTTATTTCAAAAAACTATGGTTGAACTTCCATTCTGATCAACAGTGAGTTCAACGAAGTTGAAGTCTTAGAATTATATTCAGAGGGAAGGTTAAGTTTAAAAATAAGAAGGAGCCCTGGCTGGTTTGGCTTAGTGGACAGAGTGTCTACCTGCCTACTAAAGGGTCTTGGGTTCAATTTCGGTAAAGGGCACATGTCTGGATTTTGGGCTCGATCCCCAGTAGGGGGTGTGCAGGGGGCAGCCATTCAATGATTGTCTCTCATCATTGATGTTTCTATCTCTTTCTCCCTCTCCTTTACTCTCTGAAAATTAATAAAAAAAATATTTTAAAAAAATAATTAAAAAAATAAAAAGGAAAAATAGAAGAATAGTATGAAATAACAAGATCCTGAAAAGTAAAGTTAGTGAAAGAACTCAAGCAATTATTAGTTAAAAATATTGAATCCCTAAAAAGACAGGAAAAAAAAAAAGCTGCTCTAATTAATCCTTACCTGATCAAAATGGTCAGCTGCAAATTTCCTAATCGATTCAATATCTTTCCTTTTTAAGTATTTCTGATGAAAGAAAAAGTAAACTCAATAATATGACACTTAGTTTCATAAACATGTTTATGATAGCAAAGGGAATAAAAATATATTTTGTGTTCATCACAAGAGTAGGATTAAATACAAATTTAATTTCTGCTGCCAAGTAACAAAAATTTAAAGCTTTAATTTTCCAAACTCTGGATGCAAGTCTCACTGGGAATAGCTGTGCATGTATTCCATGTAATATGCAGGATAAATGTTCCAAATGAATTTTTACACCCTGAATTGTGAAAGAAAATATAACTTTCAGATCAATAAGAAGATTCATAATTTAATTATTTTAGGTCTCTTAAAATTCTTTATATCTTACTTTATGTAAATTATTTCAATGTCTTTCTAAGTAAGACAGTGTCATCATAACTAATATTTATAGGCCACTTAAGTAGATATGGGAGGTAAACAAAGGAGGAGTCAGGCTTCATGACCCAGTAGGTCTGATCAACTACTTGGGGAAGAATGGACATCCTCAAATTGGGGTAAATAATAATGACAACAATATATGCTGTACAGAGATCACCTGAGTACATTAATTCTCTCTGGACTAGAGTATGGATACCACATTACTTTCCATTGAACATATGAAGTAATTATGAGACTGAATTCTTATCCCCAGATTGAATATACTTAATATGCTTGTATATCCGAATGAGTAGTCTTTCAAAATAGTAATCTTATTCAAGACCCAACATGCAAGGGATAATTCTGCTGGGTTAAGCTGAGAGAGCTCTGGACAAACTGAGGCTGGAGACAGAATATGAATATGATGTTATGTTCATCATTAATGAAAATGACCCCAAATGAAGCAGGTGTATTTTACAGCAATGTTTAAAAGGGGAAAAAGTAAAAAAAGCTCTAGATCTTAAACTCATATTCATCAGGCTTTATTGTTCTCCATGGTTTTAGGGACATTGTTAGACTTTATATGGAGATATGTAAGTATTCTTTTTTTAAAAAACAATTTTTATGAGTTTACTTGAAAGGATTATATTCTCATTTAAAGAGGACTGTCCTTTCTGAAGTTTAGACGAGCCCATGTTGAACATATTTACTTCCCACAAGCAGGTTCTAGAGGACACACAGAACCATCCCTCACTTACTGCTCCTTCAGGGATGCACATGGCTTTGACGGTTCCTTGGGGTTTACTAAGTGCATCTTGAAGAAATCCAACCTCTGTGTTTCTGAACACATCACTGATGTCTACAATCTGGAAAATGGGTTAAAAAAAAGGTAACTAAAACATTTTACAAACAAGTTTTTAAAGAAATTTGAGCTGTTAGCATCTACAAAGTGCATTCGTATAGAGTTGATTGTCATATGGCTTCTGCTAATGTACTCTTCATCTTCAAATGAGATGAGTATTAATTCATCTCATTTGTAAAACAGGAGTATAAGGAAGGCACTCTTTTTTTTTTTTTTTTTTTAATATATTTTATTGATTTTGTACAGAGAGGAAGGGAGAAAGAGATAGAGAGTTAGAAACATTGATGAGAGAGAGTCATCAATCAGCCACCTCTTGCACACCCCCTACTGGGGATATGCCCGCAACCAAGGTACATGCCCTTGACCGGAATCGAACCCGGGACCTTTCAGTCCCCAAGCCGACGCTCTATCCATTGAGCCAAACCGGTCTCGGCAGGAAGGCACTCTTATTATCCTCATTTAATAAATGCAAAAACCAAAGCACAGAAAAGGGAAAAACTTGCCCAAGATGACACAGCTGGCAGTGGCAGAAGCACAATCAAAGCAGTCTGACTTAAGAACCACTATTTCATATTCCAAAACAAGAAACAAGGAGTGTTTGTTTTGGAATATTTAAATTCTTGTTTTTTGGCAGCAGCTGTGAGTAGGCAGTTAGGACTTTGTGTAGCAAGTGTTTTTCAGTCTAAGAACCAAGCGCTGCCTATTTGTAGACGAGGCAGGACTCGATGCCTGAGGCCTCTGAGCTGAGAACAGATGTGGTAACGCCACCAGCATCACACAGACAAAGGGCTGTTGCTCTCAAAGAGCATATAATGAGAGGCTTGCCAACGAAAACTGCTCCATGTACATCCTCCCCTGACCCTTATAGTTAAATATGCATTGATCTTAATAATTTGAAAAAATTTTCCATAGGTTCGAGCTCTTTATTTAAAAAAATATATATATTTTATTGATTTTTTTACAGAGAGAAAGAGAGAGGGATAGAGAGTTAGAAACATCGATGAGAGAGAATCATCGATCAGCTGCCTCTTGCACACCCCCTACCGGGGATGTGCCCGCAACCAAGGTACATGCCCTTGACCGGAATCGAACCTGGGACCTTTCAGTCCGCAGGCCGACGCTCTATCCACTGAGCCAAACTGGTTCCGGCAGTTTGAGCTCTTTAAATACCACAGAAAAAGAATAAGTATCTCTTATGGCCTTCCAAGTGCCATTTTAGTTAGCTTAAGAAAAAATGAAGAGGAAAGATCAGGGTTTTGTTGTTTTTCCTTTCAAGTTATCATTTGTGTCCATATAATTGATAACATCAATTAATAGAAACTTTATAGCAAGAATCTTGCTCTCTGGAAATTGGTTTTGGAACGGAGTAGAGAGAAAAAAATATTGTGATTGCTGTAGCTCTAAAACAACACAGGCAACAAGCTAAGGTAACAACAAAAAATATGATACAGCAGTGTGTGCAAGTGGTTGTAAATTTCGAAGTGGTTCAAAAGACTGCAGGACTATTTGGGGGCAGAGACCTGGAAAATTGAAGAGTCAAAGGTACCTTCATCCCAAAACGAGTGTCGGGTTTATCAGTTCCATAGGTGGCCAAAGCCTCAGCAAAAGCCATAGCAGGAAAAGGCGCCTGCACGGGCCCTTTGTCCCTGGGCCAGGAATGCTGGAGCAAACCCTCAATTAGACTCCGGATCCCGGTCTGGTCTACAAAAGACATCTCTATGTCAATCTGAAACCAAACAACACATGGAAACTAACTTGAACAGCCATCATATCACTGTGTACATATTCATATATTTCTCTGGTTTTACGTTACCACAGGATTCTGGACATAAATACTTAATACATGGGGGGAATAAATATTATTGTACATCTGTGTTTAAACTTTTTCCTTTTTAATTTCAGAGAAGGAGAGAGAGAAAGAGATAGAAACATCGATGATGAGAGAATCATCAATTGGCTGCCTCCTGCACGCCATCTACTGGGGATAGAGCCCGAAACCCAGGCGTGTGCCCTGACCAGGAATTTAACTGTGACCTGGTTCATAGGTCGAAAACTGAGCTACACCAGCAGGACTGTACATCTGCTTAATGTCAGGTACTGTGCGAATGCTTACATACATCATCCACTTGTTTAGTTCCTATGACTACCCATGGATCATAGCAGCTAAGTCACATGTCCATGTACGTACAGCTAGTATGTAGTAAAGCTACACTTGATCCCAGGTCTGTCCACATTATGATTTTTGTGCTTCATCACACTGATTCATATGCTACCAAACAGAAACCAAATCCTAGCAGCTCTGATGAGTGCCCTGAGTAGGCAGAATAAATATCAACATATAGAACTGTTAGTTTTTTTTGTTTTTTTTTTAATATTTTTTATTGATTTTGTACAGAAAGGAAGGGAGAGAGATAGAGAGTTAGAAACATTGATGAGAGAGAGTCATCGATCAGCTGCCTCTTGCACACCCCCTACTGGGGATATGCCCGCAACCAAGGTACATGCCCTTGACCGGAATCGAACCCGGGACCTTTCAGTCCCCAAGCCGACGCTCTATCCACTGAGCCACACCGGTCCCGGCAGAACTGTTAGTTCTTAATGTATAAGAGGTGTGTTAAGAATTTTACCATGACTATGAAAGTGTTATGGGATCTTTGGCATCCCTTAGTTGGTGGCCAAAATCCTTATAAAAAGGACACATGCAATATGTCAAAAGTTAAATAATGAATGCCTCCACTGCAGGCCAGTTTCACTGAATATCTGATGGATAAAATGTAATGAGAAGTTCTGTCTGACTACTGTCCTGGGCTGGAGACACTGGGCTGTAGTGAGACTGCATGAGTAAGAGACAAGTGAATGTAGCTTTGTACCTGCGTAAACTCGGGCTGTCTGTCTGGCTTCGAGCCTTCATCTCGATAACATCTGGCAACCTGAAAATATCTACAGCAGAAAAACAGCAGTAACTGAGTCATGATTCTAATAAGACATACAATGTTTTATTTCCCCCCAAATTCATGGCCACGCAGGCTGAGATAAATTAATTATAAGAACCTAAAGGGCATATAAGAAACTTAAAAATTCTAATATGGCCATGTCCTAATCTAATCAGATACATAGCTGACCCAGAATTGAACTATTCTATATATTGCTTTAGATATATGCAATGGCACCTTTGGATATGCACATATTAGACTGGCCTGCAAGGCGGTTCATGCTTCTTCATCCAGACTCTGTGCTTTGGCCAAATTGAACTACTTGTTGCTCCATGAATACACCCGAGCTTTCCTGAGCTTTGTCATTCAACTCTCAACTCCATCTGCTGAAATGAACTCTGACCCGGGAGGCCCAGCTCATGTTTTTATACCTCACAAACAATATAATTTCAAACCCCTTATATCTACCCTGCACTCTCAATGTACTCATTTTTTGTTCATATCACAGTTGGTTTTATTATCCTATTCTGTCTTACTAGATTCATTAATTCTTTGAGAACAAAAGCTCTTCTGTTTTGAATCCCCTGCCACATTTACTAGTTTATAGCTCTGCACCCAGTGGCCACCCAATAAATCTTTACTGAAGTATGACAACATATTTTTAGAGTATTTTGCATATATTTCTCAAGTGCTCATATATTTTCTAACCTTTTAAGAGTTCAGGCAGCCCTCGCTGGTTTGGCTCAGTGGATAGTGTTGGCCTGCAGACTTAAGGATCCCCGGGTTTGATTATGGTCAAGGGTATATGCCCAGATTGCAGGCTCAATCCCCAGTAGGGGGCTTGCGGGAGGCAGCCGATCAAAGATTCTCCCTCATTTTTTAATTTTTATTTTTTTGTTACTCTCATCCAAGGATATTTTTCCATTGATTTTATTTTTATTTTTTAGAGATAGTGGAAGGGAGGAGGTAAGAGAGAGAGAGAGAGAGAGAGAGAAAGAAAGAGAGAGAGAGAGAGAGAGAGAGAGAGAGAGAGAGAGAAAGAAACATTGATTGGTAGTCTCCTACAAGCTTCCTAACCAGAGCCAGGGACTGAGCCTGCAACTGAGGTAGGTGCCATTGATCAAAATCGAACCCTGGACCCTTCAGTTCGTAGGCTGACACTACCATTGAGCCAAAGTGGCTAGGGCCTCTCTCATTATTGATGTTTCTATCTCTCTCTCTCTCTCCCTCTCCCTTCCTCTCTGAAATAAAAAATTATATTAAAAAAAGAAAAGAATTCAGGCAACTTTTTTTTCTTTTTCCTTTCCTGTCCCCACCTTTCCTTTCCTGACAACTACTAGCATAAAGAAAGCTCACCTGTCTAAACCACCAACCATCAGAAGCTGCTTAAACTGTTGTGGACTCTGAGGGAGAGAATAGAACTTTCCAGGTTCCCTGGATGGTACTACAAACTCTTTTGCACCCTTTTAACGAGAGAGGGGTGGGGAGGGAGAGAGAGAGGAGGCATTATTAAAAGAAACAAACCCAAGAACTGGTGGAAGCTGATATTTCAGCTCATCAATGAACTAAATAGCAAAGTCCTCATGATGACAGGGATCATTTCTTGTTCACCTTTTAGTCCCTTAAGGCTTGCACACAGTAGGCTTTGTTCGGACATAGTAGGTATTAAATGTATGCTTGTTGAAACAAATTCTCAATTCTTATTCACATAATTCCTACCTCCTTTTCTAAATTAAACTACAGATTTGAGTCCAGATATTGTATAAACAAATTGAACATCAAGGTTTAGAAATGTCAGTTCTTAATGAACAAGGGATTTATATTTAGGGAACCAATTCATTATTGATTGCATCTATAAAAATCAGAAAACTTAAGTAGAATGGAAAGATTTTTATCTCAAAATATTGACCCATACAATTTTTTCAACTCTCTCTTTTCTTTTAAGGAAAAATATAGTTTTACTAAAGGACCTAAAGGAAGACTTCAACGAAACCCACATGAGAATGACCAGTCAGAATCCCATTTCTTTTTACCCCTCTTAGTTTTGACATTTAGAATAAAAGAGTGAGAACAGTCAGAGGGATTCTGAAGTATGAGTGGCCTTCCCCTGGCCTATTTCTAATGTTTCCAGATTAGTTCATCTACCTTACATGTGTTGCACGCAACTCTTTTAAAAAAAAAATTAAGTTTATTGGGGTGACGTTGGTCAATAAAAATTACATAGATTTCAGGTGTATAATTCTCTATAATACATCATTTGTATGTTGCACTGTGTGTCAAGTCTACTTTCATCACCATTTATCCCTTCTTTACCCTCTCCTAACTCAACTCTTCACCACTGTGAACTGAATGGCCAGAGCCCGGGTCGGCAAACTGTGGCTCGCGAGCCACAGGCAGCTCTTTGGCCCCTCGAGTGTGGCTCTTCCACAAAATACCATGGCCTGGCCGAAACCGGTTTGGCTCAATGGATAGAGCGTCGGCTTGGGGACTGAAAGGTCCTGGGTTCGATTCCGGTCAAGGGCATGTACTTTGGTTGTGGGCATATCCCCAGTAGGGGGTGTGCAAGAGGCAGCTGATCGATGACTCTTTCTCATCAATGTTTCTAACTCTCTATCTCTCTCCCTTTCTCTCTGTACAAAATCAATAAAATATATTTAAAAAAAAAATACCATGGCCTGGGTGAGTCTATTTTGAAGAAGTGGCGTTAAAAGAAGTTTAAGTTTACAAAATGTGGCTCTCAAAAGAAATTTCAGTCATTGTACTGTTGCTATTTGGCTCTGTTGACTAATGAGTTTGCCGACCACTGGGCTAGAAAGATGCTATTTTACTTGTTACTAAGCTTCTTTTTAGCCTTTTCCATGTGAAAGGTTCACCCTGAATTAAAATGCCTGGGAAACCCAATGCAAAGCTAAGGACTGGGGAGTGTGTTGGGTCCTGGAAACTGTAGCCTGAACCCCTTTTAAGTGAGTATCACTGAGCCCTAAAAAACATAGGGCTACAATGTGTGCTCGGACCTGGTTCAATGAGCTGCTGCACCCAAAGCAGTAGGTGTGACTGCTGCTCAGCACTAAGTCCTGTTTTCTCTCCTAGACCACGGAGCAGGGATGGCAAAACCCCAACTCCAAGTTGCTAAGGCCCTGCTGCGGGGGAGAAGGGCAAGCTCAGGTAAGGGAGGGATACACTCTGGGGTTGGGGGGATAGGGGTTCAGGTGGGGCCATGGCAACAGGATCCACTCACATCCCCAGAGAGAAAATGGAATGTGAGCAGGTGGCACTCGGATGTGTCTTGCCTCTTAGCACCTCTGCTTCACTGGCCATTTTCTCAGCTCTTAAGAAAATCTGGATAATGTGATCATCTTGAGGCAGTAAAATAAGTAAAAGAAATAAAACCAAGAGAATAAGAATGCAAAGTGGGCCAGTTTCCTAACTAACAGGACATTACAGTAAGGCTGATACATACTCCTGGAGTCCTCTTAAACAGTGTCGGTGTTTCTACATCCACAAACCCTAAAAAGAGAGAGACGTTTGAATTTAATAGATAGAAATTTGTCAAATATGATGTCTATGGTAGAGTCCAATAATCTGAGGCTACCCTTAATTAGGAATTTTGTCTGAAAAAGTTACCAAGCCCACTGATGCTGGTTTCTATAAACCCAAGAAGAAAGCTGAACATTTTCATGAAATCCTATTCTGTTCATAAAGTTGAGACTTTTGTAATGAAATAATGCTTACTTAATGGATCCTTGTCTATGAACTCTTCTGGTTTTTTAAATATTCTGCTAGCATAGCAGAAATAACACAAATAACATAAATAGAGTAGGAAAAGACTCCGGAACTAATTTAATTCCCATGACATTTCTGAGCTCACAATAAATGCTATTTAAGCACGACAAAGAATTTTTAAAATGTACAGGGGTAACAACCAAAGGGCTGTCTGACCTGCAGTAGTGATGGGGAATACTTAAGGTAACAGGCACTAGCGCCTTTAAAAAGCTGTATCTGTGACCTAGGAGGGAGGTAAATTATGCTCAAAATTACTAAATTATGTTCTAGGACAAAACATTTGGAAATTAAACTTCAAAAACTGCTTTGCACATTAAGTGAATTCCAGACCTCTGGCAACATCAGACCCCATGGTGCTAAGGCGAGGATACAGTAAAACTGGTGAATAGAACAGGAGAGATGCTAAAAAGCTCCAATTACATGCAGGCATCCCCCTTACCATGCAGGTTACAGAGATACTCCCGCATCTTCATGACCATCTGGGACCTCAGCCGCAGGTTGTACTGCATTTGGAAACTGCGCAAGTCCAAGTAGCGATACTGCAAACGAAGAGCCTCTGTTTTCTAAACAGATTTAAAGATTTTTATGTTAAAATATCTTTTCAAATATTAACAAGACATTAACTTTAGATAGAGAGTTTGAAATTCCACAAACTTTATCTTTAGATCCCACCGTTTGGATATACAGAGTAGGTATTAATAACAGAGGATGGCACCTTCATAAAGTCCTTAACTTCAAAGGGCAGCTTCTTGCACGGATTCAGAAGTTCAGCTGTTTTAACCTTAACTTCAATCTCACCTGTCGGCATTTTCTTAGAGAGAGAGAGAGAGAGAAACCTATTTAAAAATTTACTCATCGGGATATGTACACAGCGAACATTTGTAAAATATGTGATTTACTTATATATATAACATGCACAGGTGCTTAGTGTGTAGTCTAAATGTTTGTGCATAATTTTGACATTCTTATGCATACCTGTGGCTGATATGACCATTAACAAATATCTTAGCATGCACATTTATATCAGTGTGTGTGTTTATAGTGAAGATTCTGAAACCTGTAGGTTCATTCAGAGAACTTACAGAGCTTTAGTGCCTGATGCCCAACAGGTGCTCACTCTGTTGCCTGAATGTGCAGACAGACAGTGCGAGTGTATACGGTGACGTTTACATAGATACGGGGTCTAAACTACTAACTGGGTTCTCTTGTCCTGGAGGCCGGGAAACCACTATCCCAGACACTTGCACCACAGATTCCACGGGGGCTTCACATAAAATCTTCTTCACGGAAGCAGCGGACTACAGAAAACAAGGGGAAAACAGTTCCAAGAAACGCATGAGTTTAAAGGAATCTGTGCTGACTCTAGTCTACGGTTTAGAAAAAATGCTAATACTCATAAGAGATTAATTGCTGTAAATACTGGGGCTGCCCTTATGACTTTATTAAAGAATTTGGTAAACTGCATCACAATTTTGACTCCAGTTAATACAAGTCAAACTCTTAACTAAGAGTGTAAAAATGTTTTTCTTCAAGGAAAATAAGGAAAGAAATGATCAATGCAAACAAATCCCACACTTGAAAGGCAACTGTTTCCAGGATTAGTCTTAGGGTCAGTTAAGCCCCAAAGCAATAATGGAGTCGGAAGGTTAGCTATGCTCATTTCTAGATCCTGAGAGAAGTCATTGCTCTTATTACAAACACTAAAGGCTGAATAAATAAAATTTTTCTTAGGCCTACAAGCATTACAATAGAAACTAATATTGCCCAACAACTATGATAAGAGAGCTTTATTTTATCTAATTTTAATGGTAATTATTTTTAGCAAGTAGTACCTTCGCATGGCTCAAACGTCAAAGGAAACAAACGGATATACAGTGGAGTCTCCCTCCTCTCCTTGCCCTTTAGTTCCTCTTCCCAGATCCTCACGGATAGCATGAGTGTCTAGGGACACATCATGAAATACACACACGCACACCTCCTTTTTAATACAGATGACAGCACCCCTGTTTTGTTTCCTCTATCAATATACCTTTCTTTTTCCATATTAGTTCATAAAGAGCTATTTATGGCTGTCAGGATGTACGTTTTTATGCCACGCTTTTATTGGGGAACAACTAGGTTCTTCCCAATTTGTTTGTTTCTATTAAAAATAATCCTGCAATGAAAAACCTTGAATTTATGTCACTTTGCATCTAAGTCTAGGTGTTAAGATGCTTGTAAGATAACTGACTAGAAGTGGGAGGAGTGGTTGATAGGATAGATGCACTTCAAGTTTTGATGTTGCCAAATTGCCCTCAATGGAACCAGTGCCATTTGGACTCCCTCCATGCATGTAGGAACACTTATTTTCCCTAGCAGTTGTCAATCTGTGTGTCAAAAATAACAATTCTGTGTAGTTATCTCTCTCTCTATGAGTGAGGTCGGGCATATCTTCTTTTTCTTTTCTGTTAACTTTATGTTCATGTCCTAGGTTCATATTTCTGCTGGGTCACTGTTTATTTTTTTTAAAATTTGATCTATAGTAACCTTTTAGATATTAGCAATATTAGTATTTGATGTGCTCATTAACAAATGTCTCATTTATATTTATGTAGGTGTATGTTTGTGGTGAACATTTTCCCCTGGTTTGTCATTTGTCTCAATGTTGTTTGTATTTTTTAACTTTTAAATTTCAAACCTCAAACAAATTTAGTTACCCTGACCACAGCATCAGAGAGGCTTTCAGTAACAGTAGCAAACCTTCCATTACCTCATCCTGAGGAATGAGAACTTGAACAAGCCCCTGGAAATCTCTTAACACCAGGAAGATGTTTTGCCTGATTAATGAAGAAAATGAACATGTTAGGATAATATCTCTGGGCCAAAATTTAAGCAGGCAAAGCAAGGTAAACAAACAAAAGGCCCATATAATTTCTCACATTTATTATAATAAATAATATGTGTTTTTATTAGTTCTAGTGTCCCGGTGCACAGATTTTTGCACATTGAAAGGAAATTAATTAGAAGGAATATTTTAATATCACTATTTGTGTCTTGCTAATGAAAAGAAAATAGGATTCATCTGAGTCTCCTATCTACTTACTCCAGGACTTCTGTGAGGGTCAAATGAGATGAGGCACAGGAAAATGCTTCACAAACATTTGGTTAAGCTATAAAATGTTTGTATCTGGCTATAAAGTAGTTGGGTTCCTGGGCTGAAGAAACTCCTAGTCACTAGGGAGAGGCACCTGGGTGTTGCTATGTGATATCATTACCTGGTGCCCACAGTGACCTTTTCTAGGCTGGGCTGGGCTGTGGGCCACATTTGGCGCCATGGGTTCTTGGCAGCGTTGACTGTGATTTGGTGGGGTGTCATTCTGGGGTGGTGGTGGGACCTGTGTCCACGTGGGGGAAGCCTAGTATTGGTTTGTTGGTGCGAGGTCCGTGTGCTATTCATTTTTAAATGGCCAGCGCGTATCAGAGCTACTGGTCTGATGGACAGACGGACACTTAGCCTTTTATATAGCTAGTCATGAAATTTTCTATGTAGTTTTTTGTTGTTGTTGTTTTGTTTTTTTTTTTACATCCTCACCTGAGGATATGTTTATTGATTTTAGAGAAAAGAAAGGAGAAAGAAAAACATCAATGTGGGAGAGAAACATTGGTAAGTTTCCTCTGGAATGCACCCCAACTGGAGATCAACCTGAAACCTCAATATGTGCTCTGACCAGGAATCGAACCCAAAACCTTTTGGTATATGGGACAACACTCCAACCAATCAAGCCACCTTATTAATGAAAAACAAAACAAAACAAAACTTCTTTTTCAATTTTTTGTGGCTATACTAGAGGCCTGGTGCACAAATTCGTGCACTGGTGGAGTCCCTAACCATCAATCAGAGCCAATGAGGGCTGGCTGGTCACGGGGAGGGACTACAGGAGGTTGGCTGGCCATAGGAGATTGGCTGTGGGAGTGCACTGACCACCAAGGGACAGCTCCTGTGTTGAGCATCTGCTCCCTGGGGGTCAGTGCGTGTCATAGTGACTATTCAACCGGTTGTTCGGTTGCTTAGGCTTTTATATATATAGATAGATATTCAGCTTACTAATGTCATCCAGATGGCTTATTAATGAAAAGGAAGATTTAAAAAATGTTTTACTTTTCACTGGCTTAAGTCTTTATAAGAAAATTTTATTAAATTTGAAAACTTCCCACATATTAAAATCCAAGAGAATATTTTAGGGTACTAAAAAACATCTGATTGGACACTTTTGAAGTATAGCAATATAAAGCCTTTTCCTAAAAAAAGATATAATCTAAAATTTTCTATAGGAAGTCCAACTACCGGTACTAATTTAATATATCTATAAACCATCTAAAGGTCTCCCAAATTCCAACATTTTTAGCATTTAATCTACATTTTTTTATACTGTCTTTATTACCAACAAGATATTCAGAAAGCCTCCTCTCATTTAAAAAAAAAAAAAATATATATATATATATATATTTATATTGATTTCAGAGAGGAAGAGAGAGGGAGAGATAGAAACATCAAGCCTGCAACCTGGGCACGTGCCCTGACTGGAATCAAACCGTTTATAGGTCAATGCTCTGTCAGTGAGCTATGCCGAGTGGGCACCTCTGATTTTGAGAAGATAAAGTCAACAAATTTATGGGTCAAATGTCCATCCAACTGGGACATATTCTTTAGAGAGGTCACAAAAATCTATGTATTTGGATCTCTTCAATGTGAATTACTGTACTATTCAGAAATGTTCTAGAATACAACAACAAAAGGGCTCTAATCTTAACAAATCACTGTTCTCTACTTAAATTTAGAATAAAATAAGCTTGTTCATGCTCTTGGAGCTTACTAGCTGGCCTATTACCAATTACTAGTTCTTCAGAGTTTTAAACTAAAAAGTTAAATTCCATGGCTGAAAGGCTTTTTAAAAGAAAGTGTTTATTAGTGTTTATTAGTCCATTGCTACAAAAAACAAAAACACAAAACAAACCCTACAACCCATACAACACAGAAAAAGATTGGTCTTGGGGCGTGATTAGCTAGGGGAAAAACCCAACATGTCTGTTATCCCAGAATTTTGCAAACCTGAAACAGAGAAAGGTGTGACACCTTAAATAAATGAGGCATGCAGCCTACCGGCTGCGAGTTTGACATGCTTGGAGCTGTTCTGAAAGAACTAACATTAGCTATAGACAAAGGGAATGGGAGGTTAAGCAGGGCTACTGTGGGCTAAGGCACAGCAGCAGAACCTGTAAAGCTCATGTGTGAACAAGAAGCAGAGGCTCCTGGGATCTGACAGGTCTGCCTATTCACTCTTTTTTATATAATCTCAGAAAGAGCCACCGAGCCCAAACCGGTTTGGCTCAGCGGTAGAGCGTTGGTCTGCGGACTGAAAGGTCCCAGGTTCGATTCCGGTCAAGGGCATGTACATTGGTTGCAGGCACATCCCCGGTGGGGGGTGTGCAAGAGGCAGCTGGTCTATGTTTCTCTCTCATCGACGTTTCTAGCTCTCTGTCCCTCTCCCTTCCTCTCTGTAAGAAAAATCAATAAAATATATATTTAAAAAAAAGAAAAAGAGCCACCCGAATATCAATTATAATTCCAACATACACTAAGGAGTGTGAGCACTCTTTTGGTGGTTTTGCACTATAGCTGTTAACCAATTAACCCCTTTATCTCTTCCTTCCACCCTCTGGCCTGCAGTAATTTAATTCAGGACATCTCAGAATTTTTTCCTTGTCAGGAGTCCTTAACCCTTGTAAGCCAAGGGGCATTGCAGTTCATTGGTGGATCACACTTCCTATTACACCCTTCAACATATGCTAGTGGTACTTAGAGTAACACTACTTGGGCCTTTCAAAACAAAATGGAAAATTTAACGAATTTTGAGAAACTTGTAGGAGTTGCAAAGCTTTTATTTTTCTGACAACACCATGCATTCTCAAACCATCTGAGGCAACTTACCTTCGGTACTGAATCCATCCACACAAGGTGACTTCTTGACCTACGTGCGAAGAACGCAACTCTCCACACGTGTTGGTCCGGGCAACAAAGCTACTGAGTTCTAAAAAGAAAAAAGCAAGATGAAAAATCTATTATTTCTTTTTTAAAAAAAAAAAAATTTAATTTTTTTTTTTTTACAGAGAGGAAGAGAGAGAGAGAGAGTTAGAAACATTGATCAGTTGCTTCTCGCACATCCCCTACTGTTGATGTGTCCGCAACCAAGGTACACGCCCTTGACCGGAATCGAACCTGGGACCTTTTAGTCCATAGGCTGAAGCTCTATCCACTGAGCCAAACCGGCTTCGGCAAAATCTATTATTTCCAAACTGCTAAAAAATAAAGACTTCAAGTCGCATCATCTTAGGTATTTCATGTCAATGGATAAAATTTATAAAATAAATCTAAGTGTGTAATTTGATTCAATCACTATTAATTCTATAATGTCAAAGGTAAATGTATTAAAAAGACAACTAAAAATTGCCTTAATGTGAATTTTTGCCTTATGTTAGGAAGTAAATCTTTTTTGATCACCAAGCATTTGCATTGACCTAAAATTAGCCCATTCTTAATAGCACAGCACAGATCCTTCCCCTATCCAATAGCACCTTAGGAATCACAGAAATTGGATGGTGCAGTGACTAACTTTAGTGTGAAAGTGAAAGTCACCATGTACACTTACAATTTTTGAGACTTAGCAGCATTAACTAACAGCCTATCTATGTGGCTCATTTTCTGGTCTTTTTAAGCTCCAGGAAAACACACACTATAGTGTAAGAATGGAAGAAGGTGAATAATGTGCTTTTACGTTAAGCCCATCCACCCAGTTCAGTCTAGCGGGTAATGGAGAAGAGGAGGGAGTGCTGGCTTTCACCTGGCACTCTCCGCGGTGCACTCAGCCGCAGACCTCTGGGCAGAGACGGCCGGAGCAGCCGCACGACCCTTCCGGCGGGCGCGGCCAAGCCCCTCTTTAGCCCCGCGAACCACCCGGAGAACATGGTGAAGCCGCTGGAGGGCGAGACGCTCACGAGTCCCACTCTGCGGGTGCTGGACGGTGGTCCGCGGTCATTTTTGGAAATACACACGAATCCCTTAAAATGCTAGGCGTCCCCACTCTCTGCTCCAGTATGTAAGCCCTTCTCCGCTGAACAATGAAGAACACGTGTCTGGAAACCGGATCGATTTACAAGGTCTTTGGGGTCCTTGGGGAGTGGGTGGAAGAAAGACCTTTCTCCCCTTTTCCGTGCATCAGTTCCCGCTTCTGCTAACACACACAGCTGCGGCCAGATGTGCAAGGACGCATGCACACAGCGGCGCGAGGCGGCCCCTGGGCCCAGGGAGAGACGGAAGGGGCCGGTTCTCAATCGCACGCCCTGTCCTTTCCTTCCGCGCTTCCCGGAAGGTGCCCGCGGCAGGACCAGGAAACAGGGAGAGAACTCAGCCTCGCGTTTCAATCCTAGCGCCGACCTCGGATATTCAGAACGAGGAAGAGGGCACATCCAAAACCGTCACGTTAGGGTCCGATTCTCCCAGCACCTCGGCCCGGTGAGCCAAGCACCCCCTCCAAGCGCTCGCGAGCGCCCAGGATGACGGTGACGACGATCAGCCAATCAGAGCGGAGCCCGCGCCGCCATGCTTAGTGAGGCCGGAAGTGGGAAGGAAAGCTTCGGGCCTGTGGGAAACAGCTGTCGCCGCGCGCTTAGACACGTGAGGAGGATGGTTCGATTGCTCGAACGTGCGTGCCCTCAGTAAAGATGGCGACCACAGTTGCTTCACTGACTTGGACTCGGCGCCCGGAAGGCTTCCGGCGTCGGGCCGCAGAGTGCGTCGGGAAACGATTTTAAACGAGGCGGCGGCTGTGGAGGAAATCGCGGATTTTCAACGGCGGGATTAGGCGTCCGGGCCGGCCTTGCCTTGGCCCCCAGGGGGCTCAGGTGGAGAGCGCCAGGCGGGACACTCTGGCCCTTGCCCTTCTTCCCCTCCGGGGGCCGCATAGCTGGTGGCGGGTCCGCGGAGCCGCCCCTCGGGGTGAAGTCGCAGCGCTTCCCCGGCTTCCCGGGAGCGGAAGCCTCCCTGTGGGCGCGTCTGGGTCCCCGGTGAACGCGCTTGCGGAGCGCGAGGGGGTTCGGGCGGGGCCAGTCGCTTGGCCTCGCCCTGAGCTGCCGTTTGGGCGGCTTTTTTACCTGGAGGGGATTTCGGCCTCGGCGGCGTCCTGCGTCCGGTTGTGAAGAATGGTTCGTGAAGCCGGCGGCGGCGACAGCGTCTGCGCGGCACTTCATTGGTGAGACGCTTTGGGTTGGCCCAGGGCTGGCACTGGACTTGGTGTTTCGCCCGGTGGTGTGGTCGTTATCTTTACAGTATTGTGTGTTTCGGTGTATTTCGCCTATATCTAGTGGTCGGCAAACTCCTTAGTCAACTGAGCCAAATATCAACAGTACAACGCTTGAAATTTCCTTGGGAGAGCCAAATTTTTTAAACTTCTTCTAACGCCACTTCTTCAAAATAGACTCGCCCAGGCCGTGGTATTTTGTGGAAGAGCCACCCTCAAGGGCCTCGCCAGCTGCAGTTTGCCGACCGCGGAACTGTCGCCCCGGCACCCGGGGGAGCCCTGGCCGCGGGGCGGTTGGCCTGCGGGGTCAGTGGCGATGGAGGAGCCGGGGTTCCTTTCTTCTCAGATTTCCCGTGAGGAAAGCAACGACGTTGTTACTGTGAGCTCTGAACTACAGGTGCAGGAGGCCTTGGCGGGAGAGCTTGCGGATTTTTTGAAATAGCTAATTATGAAAATATTTAGTAAACACATACTACCTTGGGTTTTAAGTTTTATTAATGTACATACAACATTTTATATTAGTTTTAGGTATACAAGACAGTGATCTGACATTTGCATACTTTACAATGTGGTCATCTCACTAATTGTAGTAACCTGTGCCCGCGCGCCAATTTATCACCCCTCCCCGGACCCCCATCTGGCAACTATCAGTTTGATTTCTTTCTGTTTTTTTTTTTTTTTTTTTTTTTTTTTTTTTTTTTTTAAGAGATTCCACATATAAGTAAAATCATATAGTACTTGTCTTCCTCTGAATTATTTCGCTGAGCATAATGCCCTCTAGGTCCACCCACGTTTTTGGAAATGGCAAGATTTATTCCATATGAGTAATATTCCATTGTATATATGTGCCACTTTATCCATTCACCTATTAATGGACACTTAGGTTGCTTCCACATCTTGGCTATTGTAAATAAGGCTGCAGTGAACGTAAGGTGCAGGAAGCTTTTCGAACTAGTGTCCGTTTTCTTTGGAACATGTGCAGCCGTGGGATTGCTCGGTGGTATAGTATAATAGCTCTGGGTTTAGTTTTTGGAAGAACCTCCATACTGTTTTCCATAGTGGCTACTTCAGTCTGCATTCCCACCATCTGTGCACCAGGGTTCCCGTTTCTTCACATCCTCACCTGATCTTGTTTGTTGGTTTGCTAACGATAGCCCTTCCGACAGGTGAATTGCTCACCAATTCAGCGGGTCGTTAGGTACTTATTATACTTCCTTTCGCCCTGTAGGTGGTGCTGTAGGGTACGTTCCTATTTTCTCTCACTTGCTCTCCTTCGGCCTCTGGGATTGCTGCAAATGCCCTGATGGTGGGCGTCACCTCTGTGGCTGGCTGGGCTGGGTAATGGTGGGGCAGTGTGGTGAGGGACTGGTTTTGAGAGTTCCCAGAACTCCCTCCTCTCCCCCCTGTGTTTTGCTCGGGGGGCCTGTGGAGGAGAGGAGGAAAGTTCTTAATCCAGTTATGGATTTTGGCAATGTTGTGTGTTTGCAGCTTCCTAGCAGCCTTTATGGGGTTTTGCCGCGTGGGAGTGGGGAGGGGAGATGCTTTTTCCGTGAGGCAAAATGTGAGTATAAGGAAGTATATGAAGATGGACCAGAATGAATGTTGCTTGTTCCCAAAGATCCCTGTATATTTACTGTATTTGTCTCCAAAGATTTTATAGACCATCTTAAAGGATTTTGGTAGATCCATCTAGAGGGCCTTGGGGCATTCTCCCCTCACCTAAATATTTTTATTTTTTAATTTTAATTTTTTTCTTTATTGATTAAGGTATTACATATGTGTCCTTATCCCTTCATTACCCACCCCATTCCCCCTTACCCAGCTCATGCTCTCACCTGGTTGTTTGTGTCCATTGGTTAGGCTTACATACATGCATACAAGTCCTTTGGTTGATCTCTCCTCCTTCCTCCTCCCTTCCCTACTTTCCCTCTGAGGTTTGATGATCTGATCCATGCGTCTCTGTCTCTGTCTCTGGATCTGTTTTTGTTCACCAGTTTATGTTGTTCATTATATTCCACAAATGAGTGAGATCATGTGATACTTATCTTTCCCTCATTGATTTATTTTCGCTTAGCATAATGCTCTCCAGTTTCATTCATGTTTTTGCAAATGGTAGGAGTTCCTTTTTATAGCAGCGTAGTATTCCATTGTATAGTTGTACTGAAGGTTTTTAATCCACTCATCTGTTGATGGGCACTTAGGCTGTGTCCAAATCTTAGCTATTGTAAATCGTGCTGCTATGAATATAAGGGTGCATGAATTCTTTTTGATTGGTATTTCTAGTTTCTTGGGATATATTCCTAGAAGTGGGATCACTGGGTCAAATGGAAGTTCCATTTTTAGTTTTTTGAGGAAACTCCATATTGTTCTCCACAGTGGCTTCACCAGTCTGCATTCCCACCAGCAGTGCAGGAGGGTTCCCTTTCTCCACATCCTCACCAGCACTTGTCATTTGTTGATTTATTGATGATAGCCATTCTGACAGGTGTGATATAGTACCTCATTGTCGTTTTGATTTGCATCTCTTGGATAATTAGTGACTTTGAGCATGTTTTCATGTCTCTTGGCCTTCCTTACCTCCTCTATATTATCTATTTAGGTCCATTACCATTTTTTGATTGGGTTATCTTTCTTTTGCTAAGTTGTATGACATCCCTGTAATTGCAGATTAAACCCTTATCGGAGATAACATTGGCAAATATGTTCTCCCATGCCATGGGCTTTCTTGTTGTGTTGATGGTTTCTTTTGCTGTGCAGAAGCTTTTTATTTTTTTAGAAATATATTTTATTGACTTTTTACAGAGAGGAAGGGAAAGGGATAGACAGTGAGAAACATCGATGAGAGAGAAACATTGATCAGCTGCATCCTGTACACTTTCCACTGGGGATTTGCCCGCAACCAAGGTACATACCCTTGACAGGAATCGAACCTGGGACCCTTGAGTTCGAAGGCCGATGCTCTATCCACTGAGCCAAACTGGTTAGGGCCAGAAGCTTTTTATTTTGATGTAGTCCCATTTGTTTATTTTCTCTTGAGTTTCCATTGCCCTAGGACCTGTATCGGTGAAGATACTGCTTTGGCGCATGTTTGAGATTTTCCTGCCTGTGGATTCCTCTAAAATTTTTATGGTTTCCCTTCTTACGTTTAAGTCCTTTATCCATTTTGAGTTTGTTTTTGTGTATGGTGTAAGGTGGTGGTCTAGTTTTATCTTTTTGCATGTATCTGTCCAATTTTCCCAACACCGTTTACTGAAGAGATTGTCTTGACTCCATTGTATGTTCATGCCTCCTTGGTCAAGTATTAATTGAGCATAGTGGTTTGGTTCGATTTCTGGGTTCTCTGTTCTATTCCATTGGTCGATATGTCTGTTCTTGTGCTAGTACCAGGCAGTTTTGAGAACAGTGACTTTGTAATATAGCTTGATATTTGGTGTTGATATCCTTTCTACTTTGTTGTTCTTTCTCAGGATTGCTGTGGCTATTTGGGGTCTTTTTTTGTTCCAGATGAATTTTTGGAGAGTTTGTTCTAGGTCTGTGAAATATGCTGTTGGTATTTTAATGGGCAGTGCATTGAATCTATAGATTGCTCTGGATAGTATGGACATTTTAATGATGTTGATTCTACCAATCCATGAACACGGTATGTTCTTCTATCTGTTTGTCTTCTTC